GGGGGGGGGGGGGGGGGAGGGAGCGGGAGCGCGTTGACGCACGGAGCGACGCCAAGCGGTGACCAGCGGTGACGGCCCGCGTCGTCGACGACGACGAGTCGCGTTATGTTTATATTGCGTCGATTACACGCGATGATACTAGATGGCACCACGCTGACCTTTTCTCGGAACGCTCGGACCGAGATTTTTTTTATTCCTGCATTACGGACTGCATTAGAAGCTTATTTCTTACTTTAGCCGGATATATCAAATATGTATCTGTTTTACTTTAAGTTCTAAGATGTAAAAAATAGATTTGTGAAAATAAAGAAAGAAAATTTCTTTCTCTCTCCTCTTTCTCTTCTGATCGCCAAAGCTGTTTCTTCCTCCCCCTTCTTTCCTCCACTTTCCCTTCTGTCTTCTTTCTTTCGCTCGCGTGCTTTTCTTTATTTCTTCCTCTTTTTTTCTGACTTCAGCGATATATGAAGAAGCCTTTTTTTAAAAGGATAAAATGAAGATCTACAATGTTGAATGTATGCCACGTTGCAGTGCGCATTGCAATTTACATGAATTATATGATGACGTTTTGCCAAATTAATAATTAACGAGATTTTGATTACGGATTATATTATTGTAAGAAAGATTAACTTTATAATCTCGATTCTATTTATTCTTTATTTTTTTCTAATTCTCATCAGAAATATATTAGTTGAATCAGTATCAATTATATTTAAAATTAATCGACCAATAATTTCTGGCTGGGAAGAATTAGAAAGAGATATAAATGACAAAAATATATACGTAATTAAATTAAGTCAGTTAAATCGAGATTAAAGTTAATTTTATATTTAATTTTATATTGGTAGAATAATCGTATGATTATGTTTCTATTAATGATCGAAATTATAATAGCTTTAATTTTGATTCAACTTACTCTCTTTATTTTTTTCTAATTTTTAAAACTAGAAAAAGATAGGTTATATTTGAACTGAGATTAAAATTAAACTGTATTGACAGAAATAACAGACATCAGTCATTCGATAATATAAAATTTGCTTCTACTCTCTAAATTGCTTAACATCCGTATAATCAATCCTTGTCGAACGTGTACTGTACGTATTGTGTCGCATTTGCAACTAGATTGATAATACATATAATAAGCTTGGACTATATTTTCGAAAAATATCGCATATAAAATTGTGTACAAAAATATTAATATAATATGTAAAAGTTTATTAAATCTTAATACATATATTTCTTTCAATATGTGGTACTAAATACACATATATTTACGGTAAACAAACATATTTACTCAATAAAAAAATAACAGTTTAATAAAATTAATGATTTTTGTATTATATAATATACGTTTATTTTTAGTATATATATAATTATACGTTTGTATTTAATAAATATCTTTTACTTAGAATTATTCAAATATTTATTATTCAAATTTAATATCTTTTCCGTATACGTGTATTATAGATTTTTCTAATATTTTCGTATGTACGCTATAATTTTTGTGAATATAAAGCTCCTGCTAACAAAAGTTTTTCGTAACTTTGTTCGTTATATTAATGTTTACCGGTTTTTAAATATTCGATGCAAAAAAGATTACGACAAGACAATTGTTTTTCTTCGGTTTTTTCAAGCCATACGCTTCCTCTTTATCTTTAAAACTACATATACATGTATAAGATTAATTGCCAAGATCGAGATAAGTTTAATAAAAAAATAAGTAGATGATTCTAGTTAGTTAGCTGATTAGAATTATCTAACTGCTATATTTAAATCGATATCGTTATGTTTATTCTCTTAATCTATATATCGTGCGGCCAAAGAAAAGCCGATGCGTTATCTATAATGATGCACTGATCGGCTTTTACTATTCTGGAACGTAATCGACGAGTGTTTATCACTAATACGAAAGCAACGTTGCCGTCGCGCGCGAGTAATTAAGGACGTCCTTTTTTAATTCTTTTATCCCGAATCACACATGCTGATAACATAATCAAATCACAGGATGACGTAAATTTTTATCCAGTTGCTCTCTGACAGGAATTAATTATTGTGAAGCAAATAATTTTTATCGAAGCAATCTCATGAAAATTTACATCATTCTATGATGTTCACTATATTATTTACAAATCTATAATAGACTCGAATGTTTGATGAAATCATGTAGTAATATTACATAATTTTTACATTGCAATAGATTATACGTATATAAAATATATACAATTGTATATTTTTATATGCAATGAAATACACGATTATGTAATGTTTTTATAAATATAAAATATACAACACATATAGTATATAGAATGAGCCAACGAAGATTTCCGATTTTTTCTAACTACGATTTATATATTTGAAAAATATTTCAAAATGTTGATATATAACTTCTGATACTTCATTATTATAAGAAAAAGAGGCTGGAGAAGAATATTTCTGCATATTATATTTTCACACAAATTATAGTGTCTGCAATTATAAAAGAGTGGGAAGAGTCTTCGTTGGTACACCCTGTATAATCAATTGTATATGTATAAAATATATACAGGGTGGATATTAAGTACTCTAAAAGATTTTAAGCGATTTAATTGTCGCACAAATTCAAAGCGTAAACTTTACATACAGCTATTATGTCCAAAGCTGCTTAGTTTCAAAGATACAGAGTGTCAAAGTTGCAGAAAAATTTTCGGTTTTTTTTTTTTTTAATTTCGTAAACTCCTTGAGTTATTTTGATGAAACTTCAAACATATATAACAAAGCCGAAACGAAGCTTCATCAAAATATATAACTCAAGTAGGAATTGAAACTTACGTAGGACACGTATTTATTTATTACACGAACGTATTTATTATTTATAGAACAGTACGGGATATACATATATATATTTTCCGCTCGAGGCACAATCTTTCGCACAACGTGCGCTCGAAACTATCAGCTGTACTCTTTCTCCTATTATTTTTCATTTCTACTGATCGTCGAGAGCGAGCACAGATACGTAAAAAGAATCTATAAGAGTACAAACGTGTGTCGGGAGCGATATATACACGGCGGACCGCTTTATCGTTGAAAAAAATCTCGCGTGACGCATACGCGTGCACGCCTATACGTGCGTGTGCGCGCGAGGTTTTACGAGCGCATACATTTGCGGACAGTGTTTCTCGCTGTAGCACGCAGCGATTCTCCGCTTCTCCAGTCTCTCGTCACATTTTCCAATTGCATTTTTATCGCCTTGTCCATTGACCCACTCCTTTCCGCAATATCGCGGCCCCTCGAAGCCCCCCACGTGCACGCACCAAACGATTTATCACGATGACACTTCGACAGCGAAACCATCGGGAATATCGTGGATTAAATAAACGGTTTCATAATTTAACAGTTTTTACAAACGATCTTTCTCTCTTCCCCTCCCCCCCTCCGCCCCGCCTCTCCGCTCCCGCTTTAGCCCTCTCGCTCTTGACGAGCGTCGTTCAATTTCAGTCCCGTCGCGTTTTAATTCTCGAACGATCTCACAGCTATCATTTATCTCTTATCCATAATAAGTACGTGCTTTTTTATATCGCGAGGCAAAAAGTAAACAAGCTAAGGTAAAAATAGAAATGCGTACTTGGGTTAATTATTACTTTGTGATACTATTATAGTATAATGTCAATCGGCGTCAAATATTATGTGTCTTTATGTGGACTCTGAGTAGGGTATATCTATTTATTTAAAAAGAAACTTATTTAAAAAAAAAAAAACGATCTTATTCGAAACTTTTTTATAACTTTTTTTGCAATGAGTTTTTTTTTTTCGAGGTGATGGTAGTAATTGTATTTGTAAGTCCGACAGTAAGTGGCGTGCAGTTTATATAACTAAAGGATGCAA